AAAAACAATTAAAACTATTGTATCATTGTGTAACTACAAACTAGAAGCAGTGCTGACCTTGGGGTTGCAGGTTAATTTGAGCAACTCTTCCATAAAAGTCCAGTTATCCCCAAGATGTTTCTGTGAGTGCAGATAAAAAAAGGCAATAGATTTAAAAACAATATTGAACAATACCTATTAATGTTTTTATAGTCCTACTGTAAGTATGGGAATAATTGGCAAGTGTCACTGAGCACTCATATTTAAGACTGAAATAGACAAGGTCTGCTATCTGAGTACCCGCTCTAGATAATACAGAGACTCTGTCACCATCAGTCTCAGGCATATTTCTATGAAACGTCCTATGTAATTTTTCCCTTTTCACTAAGGTGTCTAGTTTTGGCACCTTTCTTTATTAAAGTGTCAAGACAAATTAGTTCTCAAGATTTATTTTAGAACTGCATAAGCCTCTTGGATGAAAGGCAAAATTTCTTCAATCTCCAACATCTGTGAAGAATTTTTGTCTTTATGTTGCACTACCTGGATGAAGTAGATACAGAAAAAAACATAACCAGATAAAATAATGTTATTATTATTATCTAAACTGAGGTTCCTTAAGACTTGTAAGATATGTCTGGTGAGACAAATGCATGTGGTTAAATCTGAGATCAATGAATTTAAATAAATAGATTTTAAAAAATCCCAGATTTCCCAGTCAGAATTACATCTCTCATTATTTCCCAGTTAGTAACCCTGTCACTTTTATGTTTATGTCCAGGTTATTTTCAAGTGTAACATCTTAAGGTATCAATATTGTGTTTCCCCATCTCTTACCTCGTTCTGGAGTGTGCCGTTACGACTGTACTGCCCTAACACTGCTAAATGAGTGACCAGCCACCATGCGAATCCGAGAGGGTCCTTACAGTGCGTGGGGAGACCACTGAACTGCTCTGCTGCCGGCTTCCGTAAAGCCAGAGGCCTCAACAACGAGTTCATGTAGCTCCAGAAAGACTAGAGGGAAACGGAGGTTGGTTCATTTAGTATGGAAAGACTTTGGAGAGAATTTTATTGTATGACTGTGAACATGTGTTATTTGTGTTACCTGTGTGTGCAACACTTTGTTCCTGTATTCCAGAAGGTGCATGAGCAGGACCCACAGCTCTTTGGTGCAAGAGCAAAGGTAGTGATGGCTGCTCAGTGCCTCTGTAGGCCTCACCTAGAAATCAAAAGGATCCGTTTAACATAGTAAACTCCCAACTGCAGCTCTGTTCTACATAAATACAAGGGGCCTAATACTGACATGAAGATTATGCGAGTACTCAGCAGAAATATGGTTTATTACAGCATTTAGTGGGAAGGTCATGTCAGGATTTCTTATCCGCAGCTTCAACTGAGTACCAAATCTGGGAATTAACATATTCACCAGCAGGATTGCAGTTTTTTCCAGCTAAAAAAACAACAACCTAGAAATCTCACTGATACATCCCAACAGTAAGATGTAATGAGTTGTGGCCAGCCGCCCACCTTGCTGTATTTGCCTATGGCAAGACCAGTTAGGTCACACAGCAGACTGCACAGGTGCTCTTCAAACAGACTGGTATCAGTCAAGTTCTCTCCCGTCAGGTTCACAAACTGGTGGGCGTACACCACCTGGCCTGGAGAGAAGAACAGGTAATATCACAAACAGCCTGCTGCCATGATAATGACTCACTATGAGCTGAAAGTCAGAAGATTAGTGCCCACTGTGGTAGTTGTTAGATGTCACACACCAGCCTGTGCACAATCTTTTAAACAACAAGTTACAAGGATCGGAAATATACCTTGCATCTTGTGACCAAGCAGGTGAAGAACCTCCAAGACTGACCAGTGGATGTCGAGATGAAGGTGTAACAAATGCCAAGAGGGAGGAAAAATCTGTGGGAGGAATACAGAGCACCAAGTTCAACGACAGTAGCAGAACAATGAACTAAAAGACTTCTGAATGTATATTAGGAGGTTCCGGGTGATGAAAACTCTTAGTTAAGGCCTATGAAAAAACTGTGGTCATATGAGTCATTCCTCATAACAGCTTATATTATTACATTTATGCCATCCATGCTTTTGTGTCCCTGTTTCAAAGCATTTTCTCATTTAGACCAGCACCTTTCCCTGGTTAGATATGGTGAAAGCACTCTGAACGTTGGCAGGCAGGTCTTTGAGTCGTCCTATGAGGAGAGTGATGCCAAACAGCTCCTCTAGAAGAGCAGAGGGGAGCTGAGCCTCCAGTTCCTCATAGGGGTGTGGGTGACCTGCATCCAGGAAGCCGGAAGGTTCCAGGTATCTGAACAGATACAAAAGGACATGCATGCCCAAATAAACAAAGAAATGCAATAAAAAGCGGATGAACATGACATTAAATTAGTGGTAGAATGTATGTATGCAACTACCTGTGCAAGAAGACTTTGACATACTGAAGAAATGAAACACACTGCTGTCTGAGGTCCTCTGCTTCATAGTGGAGTTTGCCTGCTTGACCTACAACACATAAGGCATGTTGAAGGCAGTTTTCCTAACAAAGCACAATGTTACACCCATATTTATATCTTTATTATTCGTCCCTGTTTCTTTGGGCACTCTTTCAGCTAGCCAGACACATATACACACAGCATATAACCCCAGTCAAACTGTGTTTTACAATGTGTTATTATTGGGCTACTTAGGATCAACATTTTAAAATATCCAATAACTAAAATATATTAAATTGGTTTTAAATATCAAAGTAAATTAAAATTTTTTAAAGTACATTCTATACTTCAGTACGGCATACAATTAGACTTAAACGTCTTTCAGCACTTGAACTTTAGCAGCTACTTCGTTCGCTTTCATCTCTCTCTTCAGCAGACAGCTGCCACAGAGGGCCCAGTCCCAGAGCGCAGGGCTTAACCTATACCCCATCTTGCTGCTGCTTCCTACGAATACGAATCATACTAATCACTTGTAGGCGTGTACTGTATGTTGCACGTGTACGGTCTTGGCTAGCAAGACTTCTCAGGAAAATGTTGCCCACATTTCAGCAAGGATCATTTTAAGTTCAGAATTTTAGAAGTGTAAGGGGGCATCCTCAACTTTTTATCTGACCTTTTTCTAGATGAAAATAAATAGATAAATAGAACAGACTCTCTGCATTTGATATTTTAAAACCCAAACTTCCTGTTTACACTACAAACACTTTCTGACTGTTTGCCAGTGTACATAAAAAGTATCTGGCTAACACATCAGACATTTGTTTATGTAAGCAAATAATGGTTTACTGTATGGACAAAATACTGACATGAAAACTTTCTTTAGCTGAACTGTGGATTACAGATTGCACAATCTTACCGAAGTCATGTGAGCTGGACTGCACCATGGTCTCAAGCTGGTAAACATTTTGTCTGAAATATAGCAAAGACCAATTAGGAAGAGGACAAATTATGTCGGAAGTATAAACACTCAGCTGTCTAAAAAAGATTCAGTTTCTAAGCATTTGCTGCCGTGCAAAATGAACTTCAGATTACGGTGGTGGTAGTGACTTTAATTAACATTAAAATTGTGCTTATTTTAAAGGTAAACTTAACTGAGATCTGGTTTTCAGCCTCGCTTACCTGAACAGACCAAAGAGTAGCTTCGTAGATTCCACCAGTGCTGTCTCTGTTACCCAGGGGAAACCAAAGATCTCCACAGTGTCTGTCTCATACTCTGCAGGGGCTGGGTCAAGACGCAACAGCAGCCTAGGGATTGGATGCAGCCACGTCAGTTAAGACTTTATTTACTAAGCTTTTTCTGCCACTGAGACTTTTGCTGCCGCCCCATTACAATGCAGCTGACTGGGATTTCAGCTGCTGTGTTCAAAGCATCAAAAACTGACCTTTAAAAACACTGAACAACAGTCTGTGTTTCCAGAAAAATGACCCAGCTACTCAGGATAATTCACAGATGTTACTGTCAACAGTTTTGATTAGCACCATTTCTCTGGGACAAAATACACAGAGTGAAAACTGTTGACCTCCAAGTGTGAAAATGTGTTTATTTTTGTGATAATGGTGAACTGACAGCGACTGTACCGTTTCAGGGAGCCTCTAGCAGTGTATCCCTCTGTGGAGAGCGCTCCAGTGGGGTCCTCCTTTGTTTCAGAGCAGCAGAAGCATGGTGGCTGAACTGGAGTCAGCTCACATACGCTGTCTGCTGCGAATGGAGAGACTGGTGGGGTGAGGGACTGGCTGAAGTCGTCTGCCATGCTGCCAGTGCAGAATCAGTATCACCTTAAATGACATTGTGTTGAGACATTACAAGACTGTCACACAGAACAGAGACAACATGTTACAGTAGCTGCAGACAAATGTAGCCGGCATTAACACGCTGTACTGAGAAGATGTACTATTAAAGAAGCAGATTAAATAAGAACTTAGTTAAATATTAATATATAACTAAGCTATTTTATATAGGTTAAATATTGCTACATTGTATAAAATTACAATAAAATACAGAAAATGACGCTACGCTAAGTAACGTTAATATGTTAGGAAAAGGACAGCTGTCTATCTGACATAACATTACGTGATGTTTCCAGTCAGTTCATACAGAGAACATAGCAGGCTACTTCTCAAGACTGTGTAAAATTACCGACAGCGGTTATAAAAGGGTAATTCTCTCCACATTCTGTGTATATCACATAATGTAACAGTTCACATGTATTTGCTGGTAAATAAGGCAACATCGTGTTAACTAACGTTAGCTAGCGCTGTAGTAGCTAGTGCTGTAGTAGCTAGTGTGTGTTTAATATGTTGAATGCACGGTTCGCGTTAGTAAACTGAAATAGCAGGGCTTTTAACAGGCAGCAGTACCTCGAGAAAACACAAATGTCCTTATACATTGACCAACCTTGTATTTCGGCTTCTTATGTGGTTTAATATTCCGTAAATCTGAAGCGAAGTAAGAGGATTACATTGCTGTCATACTCCGTTGTTTGGGTTTTCATTCTCTCCCGCGCGTCCGCACCACGCATGCGCAAACTTGCCCCGCGCCTGTTGATTGGTCCGAAGTTTCACAGTGGGCGTGGTCCTGTCGACAGACAACAAGGGGTCTCTGCACTGTTTCCTTCTCGCATTATTTCTCCAGGTAGAGTGGTGGAAGAGAAGATTCATTTTATATATCTCCAATGGGGAAATGAGCCTTTGACCAGAAGTCTCATGCTTGTTTTAACGTATTTATTTCTCGAAAGGTTTTTAAAAGAGCGAACTAAATGTCCTCTTTGTACTTCTTTGAGACTTAATTAGTGAAAACACGTATATTTTGGCCTTCTTAGCAGTTCCAGTCGTAGTTACATTTACACCAAAAGATGCCAAATATACGCCCTAGAAGAAAAACGAGACGAATACTGCTCAACATGCACACATTATTGTCATTGAAACATCTTTTAGCATTCACTTCACAAAGTGACTTCTTGTCCCCCTCAGTCTCACTGCAGGGGTCCCGCCCAAATGAATACAAAATAATGCAGCAGTTTAAGTAGAATTTTATCCACGCTAACCCTAATTTCCATATGCAGATCTGTCTCTCCCAACAGTCCCTCTCGCCATCACACCATTTCTTGCATTCTAATGCATTCTCACATCTTTACAAAATCCCCCCATCCGCCACACGCCCTGGATGTGCTCGTTTAGTCGACTTACAGTCCGTTATTTCTGCACGTTTGACTCCTCCGGTGAGGAGATGCACGGTTGACGCGGTGTTTTGCATGCTGTAATTTGCACGTTTTATTACCGGCAGTAAGTGGAGACAATAAAAATGGACGCGACGGGAGATTCTTTTCTTCACGATGCATCGACCTCCCGTTCGGCTTTCAACAGGAGGCAGTCCGTCAGTGTGTAGGCTCTGTCGTCTGAATGGGAAAGGTAAATGTTTTTTGTTTGTTTTGTTCCTACGATACAAACCCGTTCAATCCTCGCTAGGCACTGTAGTACATGGAGGGAGTGAGATTTGAACCTGTTTCATCCCCCCCACCCCTCCCCTCAGCTGTAGCCTCGTTTCCAGGCTTTGATGCACTGGACCTGCTTGGATTTTCTTCTCTGTGAATTCAGGACTCAGGACTAACGGTGTGATGGCTGTAAACTTGATTCAGACAATTCTGTGGATGCACTTTCTAGTCACCCACCCCATACAAAATCTGGAAGTATTTGATGCCTATAATGGATGCACTGGGTCTTTATTATGTTAAGGTAATGACCTGGTGTTGTGATTACTTGCAGCCCTTTGAGGCTTCTTGATAAACCTAATGAACTGTGTGTAAAGGAATACTGTAGCCAGCATATGGGTAACTACTGACAGACTACTACAGAGGCAACATCTGTCAAAATGTTGCCCGTCTGTAAAATTAAATGATCAAAAACAAAAACCCACAGGTGCACGCACAAAACCAGAAACTGAGGTACTAATCTGATTGCAGACAAGTGAGAAATATAAAGGAACATTTCAATAAATATTACTGCTGATTAAATAAAGAGTTTTAAAAGAAATAGCTTTATACATTTATAACCAAAGCAACATTTCCCATTTAATTTCCATATTACTAATCTCCATTTAAGATGTGAGATAGACGTGTCCATGTATGTCCAGGACAATGATTAGTCCAGGGTGTGTTAGTGGAGCAATCAGGGGATTGTGTGGCCTGCTAGTACCAAAACACTGGTAGTTAAACCATTTACAGTATATGAGCTAAGCACAGCGCTTTCAGCCAGCTACCTAGCTGCTGCTAACTTTCCTCATAAATCTACATCAGCTAGTGCAGGTGTAGTTTCCTTTATATCCTGGTTGTGAAAAAGGCCCATTTGCTGAGGTCAACAACTCTGAATATTCAGCATCAAAAGTTGTTAATTGTCCTGCCCTAAAAGGTGTAACAAAGCCAACATGCCTAACACGGCCTGTTCAGACCAACACGGCCACGAGTGGAGGTCTAATCTTTTCAAATAACTAATACCTGTGTAAACACCTGTGTATGTGTGTCTCCCTTCTTTGACCCTCATCCACGACCCACAAGAGGGTCGTGTAGGTTATGGTCAGCTACAGAACAGCTGCTGCTGAAGGTAATGCTGTACCTCCCATTAATCAGACTCATTATTTCAGAATGGTTCCCTCCACTGCTAACCTTTTTAGTCACAACAATTAAAAAAACCTAAATTAGCTAATTTTGCTGTGGAGCTTGTTCATAATTGAAACCAGATACAAACAAACAGTGTATACCTCCTTTTTAAATGAGATGAATTGATTCTATTTGTGTTAATATTAGATTTGATTTAGACGTAACTATCAGCGATGCCGGCTTTGCAGCCAGTTTGCAACTGGTTCGTTGACTCGAGTTCTTTTCACCAAGTGGGAAATATTGTCTCCAGAAATCATAATAAGGCGGCTGATGTGAACTGTTTTTCTGACTTGGCTGCTTGTAATTATCTGAACAATGTAGCGTGAATGCAGCATTAGCCCCTTGCTCAAGGATACTTGCAACAATGCAATATATCTCCGTCTGTTATGTTGAGCTGACTGCTGCAAACAAAAAGAAGTTGGCTAGAATTGTTAGAACAGCCAAGAAAATTGTTGGACGCTGACAAAAATGATTAGATAGCAGATGCACTGTATAATGTTGTGTACAGGAAAGCTTTGTACATTGTTAAGGACATTGAATGTTCTCTTCACTCTGAGTATAAGTTCATGCCTTCTAGACAACGCTAAGAAAATATCATAACTTTGTTAAACAAAAAGATATACAAAGAATTCTTTAATATAATGAACAAACAGCATGGAAATATCCCCTTGTTGGGAGATTTCAATTACTTGTATCAACTGTTGCACATATATTGCTGTGATGGTTTATGATGTGTGTTGATAATTATTTTTACTGACAATAAACACAGTAAAAACAATAAATATATATTCCTTTTACTGTGTTTATCGTCTAGTATGATGAGACAACGTCTCTGCAGAACAATGAGCTCCATTATATGGTGCCTGCTAACAGGGAGACCAGGGCTGCAACTGATGATATTTTTCATTATTGATTAATCTGACAATCATTTTCTCGATTACTCAGTTGTTTGGCCCATAAAATGTTAGAATATCAATAAAAATGTTGATCACTGTTTCACAAAGCACAATGTGAGTCACGTCCTCAAATGTCTTGTTTTGTCCGCAACCCAAAGACATTAAAAATGAATGGAAATGTCAATGATCAAAATAGTTGGCAATTAATTTAATAGTTGACAGCCGATCGATTGATCGACTAATCGACTAATCGATCGCAGCCAATCATCCACTTAAAGAGTTTGTGCTAGCCCCCATGCCTTTCCAAATTGCTCTGTGGGCAGAAATAAAATCATATTTTACTGAATACTTAAAATAGCCATGGTATTTAAGTTTGACTTCAAAAACATCCATCTATAAGTTAGGTTGGTGTAATAATTTGGACATTGTAAAATAATGTTATCCAATGACCGGTAGTTTGACCTCTGGAAATCCTGTACGATACAATTCCACCATTAACTCCCCCTCTTTAAGGAGTATAGTCACAGGCCTGTAATGACTTTGCATAATGAGTTACATTCTCTTTTTTTATTGGGTCTGCTTTCTAAAAGATCTCTGTATTGTACAGGGGAGAGTGCTAGTCCCTTTTATCTCCAGAAAAAAACCCTTGTGGCTACAGTTTGATCAATTAAACTCCTGAAAGGGCCCCCCTCCTTTCATTCCTCTGCCTGAGAGGAATATAAAGTTATCAGTCTTCCCAAGCGATATGAGGACGGAAATAAGTAGTTTGTCTATAAAAATGTCCAGGTACTTTATCAGCGTCCCAGTAGGCCCCCAGGCCCTGACACTGTTCAATGTGGCTCTCCTGTACTCCACTCTGATGTGCTCTCCCTTTCTCCCTCCCTCTCTCCCTGACTACTTCGTCTCTGCCGGAGGCCCGCTGCTCGCTGGGTGGGGTGTGTGCTGCCGGCCCTGCACCTCAGTGGGATTGACTGGGGCCCGGGCCCCAAGTGAGGTTATCGATTTCAATCAGTGGCTTGAGAGATTGGAGCTGAATGATGCTGTAGACTTTAAACGGTGGTCAGCTGCACTGTTTGTTGTTTGGGGGAAAATGCTGCAGGAGGAGGCACTTTTGAAGGGAAGTCAGATAAACATACAAACATAATTATATAGAGAGTGAGAGATCTTAATCCTCTAGTTTGGAGTTTTACTGAATGTTATTGGGTGTATTTTGGGAGTAAAATTGCCTGAATGGATACAAAAAGTAAAAAGGTTATGGACAGATTACATATTAACAAGGATTACAAGTAGGGCTGCAACTAAGGATTATTTTCATTATCAAGGAATCTGTTAATTATTTTCTCAATTAATCTGTAAGGAATTATTAAAAGGCCAAATTTTCATATACAGATTGAGTTTTGTCAAACCAACAGTCCAAAAACCTAAAATATTTGGTTTAATATCTCTGAAGACTAAGACAAAAACAGCAAATATTCACATGTAAGAAGTTGGAACCACAGAATTTTGATCTTTTTTTTTGGTTTGTTTTCCGGCTTTTTATGCCTTTATTTGATAGGACAGCTGGAGACAGACAGGAAAGGGGGGCAGAGAGGGGATGCCACGCAGCAAAGGGCCACAGGTTGGATTTGACCCTGAACCTCTGCAGCAAGGACTCAGCCTTGGTACATGGGTCGCCAGCTCTACCCACTGAGCTAACCGGGCGCCCAGAATTTTGATAATTTTTGCCTAAAACTTGACACAGAAAACAACAACAATGATGATCAGCATAGATGAATTTTCTGCCGACTGACTCATCGATTATTCGACCAAAAGGCTCCAAATAGATGCAGCCTTCTAGTTTTACGGGTGGTGTGTATGGGCAATAGACATACATGTGGGCACCAACTGACCGAATACAACAATTTACACAATTGTTTTCCTAATTACATTCAGTACATAATTTGGAAGAGGGAGTGGAGTTGAAGTAGTTAATGTTCTTTAGTACTGCATTCTTCCAACAGTGCACTGGGTGTTTTTCTTTATGAGTAGACACTGAGAAGAGTGAGGTGACAACTTTTTGTTCCATCATTGTTCACAGGAAAGTGCGGGTATAAAGAAAAGACTGATAAAGTTCCTGTTTTGCTTAAAGAGGGAAGTTAGTTCACACAATGAGAGCGCCGCTGTTTTTCTGCTCTCAGAAGCATTTGCATCAAGGCCAGGAGATTAAACGTGTGGGTTGGGAACTGGAGAGAGTGTGTTGTCTCGCTTGGGGCCCCCGATGCCAGAGTTCTAGCTTTCATCGCACTGGGTGAAAGATTTCTCCTGGACGTTTCGCTCTTTGTGGCTACAGGTGGGTGGTTCACATGCTGTAGGTGGCAGCCACTGTGGATTTCATGCAAAAGTACAGAGGAGGTGGCTGTGGGCAAATTGTTTCACAATTGCCAATGTTCAATACTTTGCGCTGAGATGCTGAATCCCACACTGCATAAACTCATTTGTGTGGTTAGATGGTATTTGGAGTGTTATGGTAATATTTAAAACCGTAGGTGGTTGTGTTTTTTAATATAGATATTTCTAATGTCAGTTTTTAGACTACATTAAGAACCAATGGAGAGAGCGCATATCCAGTGGCATACTGAATACTGGTGCAGATTAGTGTACAAAACGAAAAAGATGCCTGACATGTAGAGCTGAAATATTAATGGGCTGCTATTTTGATTGTTGTAATCATTTCAGTCTATTTTCAAGCCAAACATTTGCTGGTTTCAGCTTCCCAGATGTGAGAATTCAATTCTTTTCTCTGTGATATATGATAGTAAACTGAATATCTTTGGGTTTTGGACTGTTACTCAAATAAAACAACCTATTTCAATACATCATAAGGGACATTTGTTATGAACAAAACAGTTAAACAATTAATCAGCAAAGTAATCAGCAGATTAATTGAAATGAAATCATCATTAGTTGCAGCCCTACTGCCGTGCTTGTGGTTGTGATGTTATAGAAGGCTGTCATTAGAGTGTTACTCATAGAAACTCTCAAGCATCATTATGCAATGAAGCAATGTGGGCTGATGTAGTGTCCTAAAACATACAAAATTGACATGAATTTGTAAAAAATATGTGAGAACTAATCAGTTATTTTCTCCTACATCTCCCTTTAAAGGCTCCATGTTCAGTGCAGTAGTGCTGGTGCTTGGCTGCCTGCTGCAGAGGAAACTAGTGGCCACAGAGGGGCATCGTGGGACCAACTGCCATGTCTTCTATGCAGTGCAAATGGACGGAGGCTTCAGAGCCGCCAGAGCTCTGGCAGAGCAGCACGGACTGGAGTTCATACAGCGGGTCAGTGCACGTTTAAAACCCCTGTTGTTAGCTCCGCCTATGGGCCTGCAATTTACATTTTCTAAATCCGGTTACTGAGGGCCTTTTTTTTTAAAGAACTGCCAAAGTGCTGACTTCTGTTTCCTATTTGAGGGATATGTGACTTTCATCAAATTACAGCAGCATTTCTGAATATTTCATATCTGATCAAAGACACAGAGAGTAGGCAGTCCACACAGTGACACACACACACACACACACACATTTCCATATAGCCAACCTTAGTGTATACGCCTGTGAGGAACTCCTGTATGTGGAATAGGCTCCAGCAGAATGTCTTTGGAAACGATTGGGTCTTTACCTATTTGCCTGGGCTTTAATGTGTCATGCTGAAATCTTTCCATTTGTCAGAAGACTAGATTTGATTTATCCACATCAATACTGTAAAGGTTACTTTGGTTGTTGAGTCTGAAAGTGTGTCAGCTCCCTCAGAAAATGAAATAAGAAATAAGGGCTTGGAGCAGGTCTTAGTTAGGTAGAGTACAGTAGTTCTGCTTTTTTTTGTGAGAGCGAGTTCAAAGAGGCAGTTCAAGGGCATAAAATATTTTGAAATGAACTTTTGATTCTCTTTTATGAAAGATTCACAATCAGAAAGATTTCAAAAGTAGGAGCCCTTATGACTTGGCATCCATCCCTGCAGTGCTATGTTACATTCAAGATTTTAAAGGATTTAAAAAAAATGTCCTTTTCAAACGTAAAGACTTATCTAATCAACATAAAATTTATTATTTGATTAAAAACATTGTTAAAGCAATCTATCATGGATAGTAAATTGAATATGACCCATGAAATGCATTAAATAGCATATGCACTGTCCCATTTCCAATAATTACAGCAAATTGGATGTGTGGCTTTTTAGATACTATGTTTTTCATTTTTAAGTTAGATAGTTTTAGATAGAGCCCTACTGGTGAGAAATCTGAGAACATACTTCACACTTACAATCTCCAAGAGTCCCCTTAAAAGGGGATTAAAATTACACTTCAGATGTACATTCCTTCATTGATTTTGAGCACAGTAGACAATCAAAAAACAGATGATTTAAAGTTATTGATAAGTGATACTGGAGGTGTGCGTGTTTTGACATTATTGATAAGAGTTAGAGGGAGTGTCCACTGGCCTGGTGAGAGGCTGTGTGCGGCATTGGCTCTGGGGAACGGGGGACGCTAGCTCATTTCAACCTTGGCCCTGCTGCCTCTGCTGCTGCTGCTGCTGCCTGGATCATGAATAAAACATCTCTTTGACCTTTATCAGGAGTGTATTGGACAGTCCACCCCCCTCTCGGTCTTCCCCTCTGCCTGTCTCTCTCTCATTGTCCCTCATGTATGCACACAAACACCTCTGCCTCTTCCTGCATTGTTTTCTACTCTTTTATACATTATACGCCATGTCCCTGGATGCTGTGACCACTTGTAATGACCAAAACAAAAACAAAAACAGTTTCCCATGCACATGGACACCACTGTATTTATGCATACACAGTGCTATGAAAACATGTACTTGCATTAACTTATTTTATATCTTTTATATTCTGGTTTTACATTTGTGAAATGGTGCAACACTCCTGTAGCATAGAAATCAGTGATAGGTTGCTGTGATGTGATTCTGTAGTAGTCCATTGTCAAAGATATGCAGTAAGTGTGTTAATAAGGTGTCCAACCCAGCACCACCACACTCTGAGAGGAGCCTCAGACAACCCCCACTTTCACGATCCCCCCAGGTCCAATCTGCTGACTGGCTTCTTTTACCTGTCTGTCGCCAGAGGCTGATGCTAAATGTCACTGACACTAAATCGCCTTTGTTAAGTCAAACCTATCGCAAATATCGTAATATCAAGAAGAAGCCGGCGCTTCACAATTTGCTGTGATATATATATTTTTGAAAACATTGAAGTGGAATGAAACATCTGACAAGCCCAACGCCAGCTTGGGAGGATTGTGATGTCTGCTGGCATTCCAGCGGTAATGCCGCATGAGTGGAATGGGAATCAAATGTCTCCATGCTGGCACTCAACATATTGTTGGTCTCTTTGATTTAGTGTACAGCATCCAAGAAAATGTCATCGCGTCTCTCCATTGTGCAGACTTGACATATCCATTTTGCAACTGTAAAATACAAAGAAAAACAAAGCAAAATGATGTCTTTATGCCACACGGACAGATTTACTGTGATGCATTGCAGTTGCTTTTTGCAGGTGCCTCTTTGGGTAGCAGACACACTGAAGCCTTACCTGTCACTCTTCATGATATTTGAATGTGTCAAAAGAGATCGCGTTTATCCATCCACATTTCATCTTTAATTTGTCTTATATTTTGCCCATTTAGAAATATTTAAAGATGGCTTATAATTTGTCAACATTCCTTTAAATTGGAGGGTAAATCAGCTCATCCCCTGTAAGATAAGATGGCGTGAAATCGAGCAACATTTAAATAAAGACACAAACACAACAAATGCAGTGCACCCAGGGAGCAGTAATTATTACGGCTGTGTGGCAGTGCTGACGTGGATTCAGAGATTACTGGCATACAATGGTGAGTCTCATCTCCAACCAAGGCTGTGGTGGTGTAATGCAATCATTACGAGCCAGAGAGAAAGAGATGCTCTGACTAGGCAGGTAATGGCAGCCATTACAGGTGCAGGGTTTCACACACAATGACAAAGAAAGAAGAGCCTGATCGCGATCTAAAAGAGATGATTTTCTGTTTCACTTTATGCCGGCACAGAACAACAGCGCAGTGACTTGATATTACACGCTGATAAATAAAAAAAAAAGGAAAAAATAAGTCTCAGCTTGCAGGCTTGCTTACAATACAGCCGACCTAGTTTAAAGTTACATCACATGATACCGCATTGTTTACAGGTATTATTTCTTGCTTACTTAAGAGTTTGCAAATCCGATTAGAGCCAGATTAGGTCTATGTGTTGCATTGTTTTTATTTTAGCTGAGATCATTGCTTCAAGAATTAAGTGGCTGTGTGTGTGTGTGTGT